ATTGCATGTAAAAACATAATGATCCAATGCAGGTAAACATTTACAAGTGATAAAATTTTTACTTTAAGGAACTGGTGGAAAGTACAGAAATTTTAAAACGTATTTTTATCTATACTAAAATGAGATGGATAAATGAGAGCAGTAGTGGATTCAAACTTGAATTACTATTCACCGTAAATATTATGATCACCTGCACTGTTTCTGAGTATTCACATAAGTAAAACATGATGCAAGTCTCCATGTTTCTTTTTCATTTAGGAGTTTACTATATGACTGATCACTCAGTGTCATTTTTTATTATTGAATCTAAAATTAGATGCAATAGAAACTTCTCATTATAGAATTATGGAGGAAGTAAATACTTGTGGGGACCTAAAGGCCCCACCTTGCATAGGTCCAAAAGGAAGTTACTGGGGGCGTGGCCTGGCTTGCTTTGAAAGTCTGAAGAGTACTTCAGCACTGCTGAGGAGTGCATGATCAGCCTGTGACCATCCTTAAGATACACCCTCAGGTGGGGAGGGGTGGAGTTCCAGGTGCCTTTATAAGCTTTGTAACACCTGCAATAAATGAGTCCCTGCTTGACTAGACTCCCGGTTGTCTGAGTGTCTGTGGTGGGCTGGCGAACGAGTGCTTACTCATCCCCAATCATCACTGCACCAGGGGTCGCTGGTTCGAACCCCTGGCAAATACTAAACTATCAGGCATAAAACTTTAGGGTAAATTGGAGTATAAAATCATAAACATGTTATTTTAACTGTCTTTTAAAGAATGATTCTTATTATATGCAATTCAGAACAATTTTAAAATTGATACTTTGGACAGAAAATAAGGAAATGAATAGAATGGTCTTGGAATGGTGTTATATGGCAATTTCATTAATAGTGTATGACCTTGAAATGAACTCTTTTGGCTATGTATATTTATAGAAACTGTTTAAAGTAAATTTTTATACAGTAGGATAGCTAAACAGTTATACTATTTTCTTTGCACTTTGAAACTTAAATATCGCTATCCCGTAAAAGCAAAACTATTGATTTCAACTGGGAATCATTGTATTGGTGCCAAACATATTTTTACCTTGTAAGAACATGAGGAAGTCACATTTGAAATATGAAATTAGGAAGCTATTAAAACATGATAGATGTAAGCCATCATCAACTGTTATAATATTAATATTATGGGCTTTGAAATAACTACACTCTGTTGCACTTGTTTTACTTTTCTAAAAATCAAATAACTTAGGTACTTGTAATTAATAACTTTATTGCACAGTTGTTAGAATGTAAAATGTGTGGAATCAGATTCATAAATTTTAATCCTTTAAAGTTATTTAAAAATAGTTTCTAGTATATAGTAAATGAGTAATAAATATTTCTCAGCTGATTTTGTAATCATGGATACAAATCTATTTAACTTAGCCATGTGAAAAACTTCTGTTGATTTTCATTGCATATTAAAACTATGAAATTAATGTATTTTCAAAATAAGTTAGTCTGGGCCACTAACTCAGTACAGACAGTACCTTTTCTAAAAGTTATGTGAACTTGACCCCTTAGTTTGGATTCATTGGTAATAAACAAGGAGGGGAGGAAATAAATTTACATTACATTACATTATTTACATTGTTTTAAAATGTTCTCTGATACCACCTCTCTCCTACTATGAAAAGGGAAATGTGGAACACCAGTGTATTTAATTGGGAGGGAAGAAGGCTTATACAAAGAACTGTGGGTGTAAATGGGGAGAAGCACTCTAAAGAGGGTGATAATAGGACACATATATAATGAAGGGAGAAATAGAGAAAATAGGGGTAATTTAACAGAAGAGGGAGAAAGGAGGGTTACACAAAGGGAGAGAGAGAAAGTTTATGCAGGAAATGTATACGTTCAAAATCCTGCACACACACACACACACACACACACACACACACACACACATGCAGGAAAAGGCCTTCTTTGAGTGGTTAGTCAGGGGAGTCCAAGAGACTCCCAAAATACCATAGGCTGTTGACACAGCCCTTGTTTGCCTCCCAGAACTTAAAGATAATACCCTATTACTGAAGAAAGGACATAATGCAGACACAGAACGTGGAGCAAAGGAACTGTAATTCACCTCAAAGCCTCCTCCTTGAAACCTACTATGCAAGCTACTAAAGGAGAATATCAGTCAATGGTTCAATCCTGTTGTAAAACCTAATAACTACAACAATGGCTATGCAGCAAACTATGTCTAGTTGTGCAGTACTGTGACTTTCATCTGGGCAATAAACAGCTATCTTATTGGATTTAAATCCTGCTCATTGGAAGGGAACTTGTGTATGGTATCGTAAACATAGTCAAATACACATGGCTGGAGAGGTCATAGATCCTAGAGAAAATTCTATGTCACATTTCTAGATAAATATAATTTCTTAATGAATGTTAAATCTGTATCTTTATATTTATAGACAAATATAGTTCTCATCCCTCATCAAAGAGCCTTCATTTTGCAACAGATGGAGACTATTACAGAGTTCCACAACTGTTCAAATGCAGACAGTAAGTGTCTGTGAGATGCCCAGCCTTAATTGACATATAGGCACCTAAGGCTCAGGAAACATAGCAGAAGAGTGTGCAGAGAGAATATTAGTGCATCGCTAAGCTTACCAGATAAGCTTCCTCATGCAACAGATGGTGATTAACACAGAAAGCCAAAACTAGTCAAAATGTAGAGACTAATACACGGCAGAATGTGTGTTTCTGGATTAGATTCATTAAATCTCAGTCACCCAGGTCTCAAGGACCTTTGTGGAAGAGGGGGCATAAAGACTGTAAAAGTTTGTGTTTGACCCCAAGGAAACAGAGTTTTTCAAATGGCTGGGAACGTGCTCATATGAACTTATAGCAAAAGCGACAGCATGCACAAGATCCATGCAAACTTAAACCAGACAAAACCCAGCATGGACATGGGAAATGGGTAAAATGTCCCAACTTTAGCTGATGAACTATTGGCAATGTATCACTATTGAGGGAGAGGAGACTTTCTTTAAGAGCGTAAGGCTAGAAATGGTAATGGAAATATTCCACGACTAGAGAAATAGAATTCATTAGAATTTTAAAATAAAAGAAAATGAAGATAATTATATCTATGTACCAATTTTAAGCATTTCCAATATTTTACCTTATTTGTATGCCAGTTAAATGTTCTATGAAGTTTCTTTTTAATTATTTTCTGGCTTCTAACATTTCTTTGCTGTGTAACCTTGGGCAAGTTATTTAAAACCTTTTCTCTTGACATGCTGATCTGTGCATTGTTGATATTAAAAATATATTAAATTATTATAAAACTGAACTGAATTTATAATACACAAAGAATTCAATATTATACCAAATACTACACAAATAAGTGTCTATATGGGATACCAAATGCACAGCAAATATTTCAGCCATTGACCTGCTTTTATTACTAAAATGATGATAATTATTACAGTATTAATTTTACCTTCAGGAAAGTTCATAGACCTATCTCTTTACATAAGTACAAGAATTAAAATGGATGAGAAGACAGAGAAAAAGAATTAATTTTGGAGACTAATTAGTTACTGCTACTTATGCCTCCTCCCAGTGACCCCCCCAGGGTAATATCTATTGTTTTCAAAGAATGAAATTAATTGCTTGTATGATGCATTATGCATGTAGTTGTCTTGTAGAAAATAATTTTTCTATGGAATTTATTTTGGAGAGAAAATGGGAAGTTGCAAACAAAACAAGTTTTTGTAGGAACATTTTTAGGAATATTTTTAAATGTTTTAAATGATTATTATTCTGTATATTAATTGTACAAATAATGAATTCCACTGTGACATTCATGTGCATCCCTATAATTCACTGAAACTCTATTTACCTCTATTTACCCATTATATTACCCTTTCTTCTCCTCTCCTTTTCTTCACCTTTTCTCCTTGTTGTTCCTCTTACGTCATTTGGAATGCTAAGCTCCCTTCTGTATTATCAGAAGTTAAAATAATCTTCCATTTTAACTTTTTGTTTTTTATTAAATAACTGAGAATTATGGATGTCAGTAGTTGTGTATTAGTAGCATGTGTGACACAGTTCCTATTGGACTCATTATCATACTTCTTTTGATCCTTCCTTATGGTTCTAATAGAATATACAAATAATTTTCTCCATCAGTGAAAAAATGTATAAAACCTACTCTACTCTAGCAGATTAGATTTCACAATACCTTAACTTACTTTCCCCCTCTCTCCCAGAACACAGTGACCAAGGAAAATTATAGAGGAAAGAATTTATTCTATCAGTTCCAGAGGAAGAGTCTTTAATGGTGTTCCAGAGGGAGAGTCTTTAATGGTGGTGCCAGAGCAGGAGGGCATGAGGTTACAGTTTCATCCACACACAGCAAGGAGAGAGAGGAGAGAGAGAGCAACTTGAAATGGGGCACAGTTATGTAATCCCCAGTCTTGTCCCAGTGACATCCTTCCTCCAGGAGGATACACCTCCTAAGCTGAAGACAAATACGTGAATTATGGGGAACATTTTTCATTCAGAAAAACATCAATCCAATCAAAAAAATTTGCTAAAGAATTGAGCAGAGTGTTTTCAAGGAAGAAATACTTCTTATCTATAGGTATTTAAGAAAAGCCCTTAAGGTATTTAGCCATC